CCCCTCCCTCCCGGGATTTCTAATGGTCCGCCCCTAAGAAAGTTCTTGAACAGTTGATGACGAAGACAATGACGAATACTTATGTCGTGATTTTTCTGTTGGCTTCACTTTTCGCTCGCTGTTATCGTTCCAGATATATATATATATAGAGAGAGAGAGAGTTCACTGGTTACGGTTGAAGTGGAAAACTGGCTTTAATCGTATCGTACCGAAACGTAGCGTATTTCCTTGTTTTCTGAGTGGTAATGTGGAACTAATGACTTCAACTGACACAAAAGAAAATGCTAGTACGGTATACGTTACGGTTGAAGTGGAAAACAGGCTTTAAACGGACTTTTCGACTCAACACGGTTTTGGAAGTCAAAACTCGGGTTGAAACGTCTGCCTCACAATGCTGCGATCTTGTCAAATGTTTGATTATGTATGTAGTTTTTCAGGGAAGTGCGGTACTATCTGTGCTTTATCGCATGGACGTCATCGGGTGGTTTGTAGGTGATGACGTTGTATCACGCTGACGTCTCCTATCATATTTACTCAAGCAAAGAAACTTGAGAAACGCTGAACGGAATCGAGGCGATGTCCACGCATACACGTAGGGATTAACCGCTGACGAAAGCAACAGGAAACACAGTTGCAGATCACGCAACCAATGTATGACTTCACAGCTACAAATATGGCAGAAATTCACAAGATAAATAGCGATACACGCAGGAAAGTAACAGATCACATACCACAGGAGAATAATGCTGAACATCTTTGTAACACGAACTTCATACTTCATGTTAGGCGCGTATTGATGAGCTCTTGCAGCAGGAGTAACAACGGATGCGACAACTTGTACATTTAATCTCGCTCGCTGTCGTCTTAATGTTAGATTGATTCGAAAGAAAGAAAACACAAGAATGCAAAATGTGAAAATCACCACGACGTTTGCAAAGACAAAACGATACAGAAAGTCTCCGATCACAAAATACAAGTATGTGACTGAGCTTGATAGTAACCAAATAATGATACATGTGATAACCACACGTCTTCTGGTTTGAAATGTTCTATATCGAGTAGCATGAACAACGGCCATATATCTATCTGCAGTCATACTGCCCATACTCAAAACTGAGGCAGTACATGCTATTAGATAGGCGACATGTTCAATCTCAATCCCAAACCCTGGCAGGTTTATACTCGTTATCCCTTCGTCCAAATGATATATGATGGACAGCGGATTCACGATGAGACCAACTGACAGATCGGCAATAGCCAGATTGAGGACTAGATAGTTGAACGGTGTTCGTAGGTTCCCGTAGGGATCGCGGATCAGTGCCACCAACACGAGAGCATTTCCAGGGATAGTAACGAGGGCAAATAGGATGGAGAGAGCAGTAGTGAAGATGGATAAGAAGAAAGGCGGTGCTTCGTCTGAACAGGAGTCAGTGCGAAATGACATTTCAACACGTTGTGTCAATTATTTCACTGTTTAGTCTACCTGTGTAGTACAGATAAATAAGATAGTAAATATATTATAATATAAAATCCTTTCAATTTTTCCTAATGAAATACACTACGAATATTAGCATCTTGTAAACCCAAGATTCGAACTATTTAAACAAGACAACAAAACGTTTGTTCTTTTGTTTAATTTAAATAGCTCGAATTTTGAGGTTATATATAGAGAATAATACATGCATGTGTGTGCATGCATGCAGGTGCCCTTTGGTGTGCGTCTGCCCCCTTTGCCTTTTTATCGTTCCGGCGTCCCTGCGGTTGCATATGAAAATGCGCACATTTGCGGTAAAATATATATAATGATCATGATCATGCCTGTAGTTGTATGACTCTAGTCTGTATCGAGTGTATTTGTTGAAATCACATTTAAAAATACAGAAGCGGAAAACTTTTATGTAAACCAAAGGCAAAGCCTTATAAAGTAGACTTAAGGCTGATTTCCACTGTTGCGTTTTTTGTACGCACGTACACGCACGTAAAACTTTTATTTCTAAGTAACATTTAAACGGATTTAAAGTTTTACGTGCGTATACGTACGTATGAAAAACGCAACAGTGGAAATAAGCCTTTAGTCTTAGTAAAAAAACTATTTCCATTTAACTTTTTTATGGACGTTTTCTCGAAACGTCGGAAACTCTTGTAGTCTTGTTCGTGTTTGACCGAGGATGAGAGTAAGTTGAGATGTGGAAACTCTCATCTGCTCGTTTGATGAGGGCTGTACTAATTTAAACACACAGTCAAGAGTATCAATTAATATGAGTGCGAACACGACGTATTTTCCCACACTAAGCAATTCGTATATAATTCTAGACGAGTGCATGGGCTCAAAGATTACTAGGGTCTTGAAAATTTTTCTTTCTCACGCGGGCAAATATCCGCCATTTTTGGGGTAGTGTCTTCCCTAAAATAATCTAGACAAAACAATTTGAAAAACAACTTTACAAAGTAACTGTAAATTTACCATTATACAAACAAGTACTAGTTAAAAAGTCGCATTTCGTGGTGCTTATACTCTCAGCCTCACGCTAGAGCATAGGCTAGAGTAGTAGAGAATTGATTTGACTTTTTTGGGAGTTGGACTGTTGGGAGTTGGAGTTGTTGTGTTGTTAGGGACCAAATCTAACTCCAAACCATGGAATGCAATTTGGTTCGAAATGGCTCCGAGGGCATGCATTAGTGAGATTTAGAGAGAGGCAAAGAACAATTTTACGCTATAAAGCAATAAAAAGTAAATGGACTTGTTGTTTTATAACTAGAATGCTTAACTATTCCTATGTCATATGAAAGAAAAGATATGACAGTCAGAAATCGAACGAAAATTATGCTAAGAAAAGTCGGTCTTGCCGTTTGCCGTTCCCACAAACGTGAAGCTTAAACTCCCTAATGAAAATTAATAGTCTACATCAGTACATGTTTGAAATGAAGAATTATGATCACGAAGTATGGCGTGACTTTATAGGCGACTTAGGGCAACATTAGGTGACTTAATTTATAGGGCAACTTTAGGCGACTTAAAGCGATTTTTGCATCAGTCCAGGGGTAGGCCGAATAAGTAATATTTGTGGCATACAAATTCTAACTATATAGCTATAAATTATAGTAAGTTATAGTATATACTGTTATAGAACACTCGCCCGTTGGACTAGTCTAGTATACTCTAAAGTGTGGCTTTACGGAGATATATTTTCTTTCCATAGGACAAAAAAAAATTTATACTACCTTAATTACTGATTCGTTCTCAATCAAGCAGCCAGATCTTTTAGGCATACTCAAGACACGTCTTCTCTTTGATTCTCACATACATTATTGCACTGCTACTCTATCCGTCGAAGGTTTCATATGTCAAAAACTGATCTTCATACTTGCAAGCCAACCTTAGTTTGTTTACTTCAGAACTTCCTGTCATGGGTTTAGCTAATTTAGTTCAACATAATTTGCACCTGGCTATATTAGCTTTCTTACGCCTTATCAAGATTGTTTACTTCAAAAAAGGCAAGCGCTCCAATTTATTGCTAATTAAATAGACAAGATTCCAAATGACAATGCTGTGTTCTAATTACTTAAATTCCGTCAATACTTGAATTGCTGGGGTTTTGTCATCACTTCCCTCTTCAAATACACCTTGACTGTGAAAAAAATTAATTGTCCACATACTTATTTGAATGAAACTACAACTGTCGCTAAAATGAGTTCTTATATGAATATTAATATATAAAATAAATTGGGTTTATTGGCTTACATGATAAGGCTCATTAACACTATTCTATATGCATGGAGTTGCGTTCAACGCAAAAACAACGCCATAATAATTATACGTCAGCTGCATCCATAGGTAATTTATACCCACCAAGAAAATATCTTTCATTTGACCCAAGTTTACGATATTAATTGTCTAGCCTATCATAATTTATTAAAGTGTAAAAAATCCAATGGTAATTGCCAAAATTTGTTTATTTGTACTTGTATATTATAGGCGTATTTTCACACGAGTTATCGTCTTTCGCCAGTCTCTTCCGAGGAGAGGGACGTATAGACGGTATAGTCGATTAGCCTTTCACACGATGACGAATATATCCCAGCGGGCAAAATGACGTTTATTCAACGTTGAATCAACGTTGGAAATGCCCCTTCCAGACGTTGGATAGATGTTGAAAAAGGATTGATAATGCAAATTGGATAGACGTCACTGTTTCGACGTTGAAACAACGTTGAAATTAGGTTGCCAATCTCGTCAACCATAATTCAACGTTGAATCAACGTTGAACGTTGAGATTACTTCACAAATCGACGTCGTACATTTAACCACGAATGAACGTTGATTCAACGTCTGTTGGCTGCTGTTGAACCAATGTTTGTAAAACAACGTCAGAGCAACGTAGATATTACGTTGTCGACGTCGCAACCTTTTTTCTACCAAATTTCAACGTTGAAACGTCGTGTGCCCGGTATATCCGCCATTTTTGGGTGGCATCAAATTTTCATTATCCAATGCAGACAATTAAAACAATGTGAAAAGCGATAAACTAACCATTTACAAAGCAAATTTACCATCATTCGTCCAAAAAATTAAAAAAGTCGCTGTTATGTGGACTTATCGCACAGACTTCAGCTGAAATGCGACCCAAAAATGGCGGCGTGAGAAAGGCTAATTGCATTGTATTACAGAGCTGACCAAGGTGCATATATAGTTGGAGTCAGTATAACGTTGGTGACATGCATAAGCAGAGTAAATTTGTGACATGTAGTTTTACGGTAGCCATGATATATCGAGGGACCATTAACCAATCAGATGCGTTTAACTACCCGATTAACCAATCAGATGCACGCACAACAAGTGATAGGTTCGGGTAGTCAAATCAGAACCGCTTTATTCATGTAATCTGCAACAGTGCGAGTAGGATAAAAACAATAGAGGAACTCCTCCGAGCAAAATGCTTTGAAGTTCGAAGTGAATATTGCAAGTATTCACAAAACGTTTCATTTATTCATATCTTAAATATTTACGTAGCACAATCTGTATTTAAAACATCAAACATCATCAAACGAGATCGATTTCTGATCGATCTCGAAGCGGACATATTACGTCATTGTGAATGTGGAGCCCATTGCATGCATGATTAAATCCAAGATGGCGGATAGGGAGAGCTTATTCTGCACTCGCTTATTCTCACACCGAACCTTCTGAACCTAACCCTGATTCGTTTCCAACGAATCGGCTTCGTACCGACCCGGGTCTCGAGAAGGGTTACCCGGGTTGGAGAGGTGTGAAAGGCTTGACTCGACTATCATGTGTTCACATGTGCCAATAGAGATTTATTTGTAGACGTGCTGACCCGGGCTGTACGTTTAATAGTTCGGGTTGATAGCCAACCTGCCCCCAGACAAATCAGTGAAGATCTTCTGGTGTCCAGGCAGCATGCATGAGAATACATGCGAATGCTGAAGTGCAGAAATGCTATACTCCGGAACCATAAGATATTCAATTCACGCTTAAAATATCAGGCCGATGTTAACGACCAAGACTGATGAAGTTTAATTTAGAAACCTTTTCATTCGATTTATGAAATGTCGAGTGATCCGATACGTCTGCCTTCTGCATAGTTATTAATCTTCTCTAATCCAATCACGGAGTCGTGCAGCCTTAATTTCAGTACCGGATCTTTAATGGAATATAATTATATTGTAAGTATTCAGAAATTTTTTGAATCACGCATTTTTAGATTACGTTTTTGCATTGTTAATGGATACTCTGGTTGAAATACATGAACGCAATCACCGCGTGCCACGCAGGATAAAAAATATTGGTTGACTTGATCCAAAGTTTTCATCATGTCTCCTCCACATGCAGGGACATGTTGCGACCTCAGATGCACCCCTGGCCCTCATGAAGACACTAGCACATAGCATTCATTTACCCATAGACAATCCAGAAGACAATGTCTGAGAATCAAATTCAGTTGGAGAGGTTCCAGCCTCGTTCAGACTGTCAACTATTGCTTGCCATCTTGGAATTTCTTCTTCCAACTGTCGAATTTCACGTTTTGCTCTGCGATCCGCAAGACTCAGTTCGTGTTCCAATATCTCGTCTCAGGGGACCCTAGAGTGCACGTGGACCATTTTTATGTCTTCTGGATTGTCTATGATTTACCTAAACCTTATTTACGAGCGAAAACATGTCAGACATTCAGATCCCAAGCTTCACTAAGAAAACGCAGACAGGTCTCCTAGTCTGGATGACGCAACGAATTACATGCTGACTGGTTACTTGGCAAATATCGTGACCCTCGGTTGACCGGCTAGCCTGAATTAACGTATGTAACTTCAACCGGGATCCCGAAGAACTGCAGAGGATATGCTCACCTAGTGAGCTTATACTGGCGTCATGCAGCTTGTATCGGAGCATAATTTTGAATACAATGTATACTAACCTTACTGTTAAGC